ATTCGGTTTGATTTCAGCATGCATCTGGTATCACCTACGGGATCCGCGCTACAAACGGCAAGGTTAGTTGCCCATATGTTGATTTAGAATGATTTTAGTTAGAACTCTTAATTTCAAATAAATATTTTTCTGTTACTTTTTTTATTAATTTCTGGTATAGCTGACTGGTCGTGTTTATAAATGGAGAAAAGTGAACCTTGCGATTTAGTCTTGTCTTTCTAACTTTGTTATTAGCTATTCTTTTGGGATTATACAAAACCATGCAATCATCGGTACAGGAAACAAGGAAAAATGGGAGAATTTGGTCCATAATATTCTACCCTTTTGGGCTAATTACGAGTTGTATTTAGGTAACAAGAAATAGGATTGGCTATTCGTTGGAGCAGGAGCTTTGAAAGTGCTGAATAAAATCTTGCTAATTTGGTGCGGGATTTCGACACTAAAACGTTTTGGTAGGTACTAATAAAATTCTTTTCCACTAGAATATCTTGTAAGTAAACTTCATATGCTTAGTATCTACTAAATTGTAGTAAAGCATCATATTGGTGTTTTGACCGCCTTCTTGTCAGGCCCAGAGGAGACTGAAATTTTGATACCGCCCTGTTGAATCATATGCACCACCGGCGGAATTCGAAACCTCTAGGCCATACGAACCTAGCCCCATTGTGCTACGCGATAATTAGGAATTTATAGGCAGAGCAAGTTTTTCTTGAGTTGAATTAATTTGTGCCGAATTTTACAGCAATAAGCAACCGAGTGTCCTCGACTAAACTCGCCTCATTACTGATTTAAATATTGAGTAATAGGTTTTTCATTGAGACCATCAGGTAAATGAAAACCCATATACAAGTTTTAACTGGTTGGGATTCCGGCTGCTGATGTGTAGATTATCAGCCAGATTCTAGGACAAAAGATCACGTAAGAAGGTCCCTTTGGAGTGCATTATAAGGTGGAATTTATCGTACTAATCATACCCTCTTAAATTTATCGTGGGTACACTCACATAATTCTCGAAAGATACATCTCTAGAAGAATCAGGTTTCTGATAGCAGCAAAACAAAACTACAAATGCACTTTCAATACCAAAGAAAGAATTTGATTTTGTAGTTGAGATGATGTACAAATAATTTCCAAAAACACAACATTTGGGCAAATAGCAAAACCTTTATTTCGCAGGAGATCCTGAATGATTATATTCTCAGAATCAGTAGCAGACTCAAAATAGAGATATTGAGCCTTTATTTCTCCTCTTGTCTTCCAAATAGCTTAAAGATGTCAATTCTATGTAACTTTTAAGATGCCAGCATACAATCGCCATATAGGCCTGGCGTGGTGGCGACACCGTCTGGTACTCGTTTGGGCAGTCGTCAAGCTGCTTTGAACGGTGTTTATCTGCACTCGGATAGCAGACCTCCAGTGGATGTCGAACGTCTTCGGGTCGTGTGTAACGGCGCTGGAGGACATTCGGCGGCCAAGATGGAAGTTGGCGGGATTGGAATTAGCATCAATGGCAAAGTGAAAAATGAGACCAAAGAAATTGCCAATTCCAACTTCAACGCCAACCTGAATGGACATCAGCCGAACGGCTATTCGTACGACGGTCTTATGCATTCTGCCGTCGCTAAAAGTGGCGGTGAGTTGAGAGCACAAGAATTCCAGCCGTCCGGACTCATGGCCTTCGGTAACTACGCCACTTACAATAGCCATTCGGCTGAGACCGGACAGGATCCCTTGTCTCTTTCCAATCTCGACCTGCTGGGCTCTGGCTTGGCTTCAGGCCTGTCGGATCCGGCTCTTCGAGACGTCCTGCGTCTGTCGCCGGTTTTGACCGGTGGAATTCAGGGCCCCAGGAGCGAGTTCGGCAAGCGCGGAATCGAGTCCAGCCTCCCGATGCCAGTCTCTTTGGGTTATTCTGTTTCGGATCAGACGAATGGGCCCTCATTCTGTTCACATCTGCCCGGCCTGTCTCAAGCTTCAACAGAACTGCAATCTCTAGCGCTGGCTCAAGCCACGAGATTGCTATTTCCAACTGCGACTTCGGCGTTGGGGATTGAAAATAGACTCTTTTCCACTTCGAAAATTGCAAATTCGGAAGAAGTTGAGCAGGATCAGGCACAAATGCACACAAAAAGTCAAACGTTGACACCAGCCCAAAAATCGGAAATCGCGCTCAGTCTGCTGGCAGAGCTTTCTGCAAAACAGCATCTGCAATCACAAGCTAATCTGAATGGATTAATCTATGCGACGAATGGAGATCAGGTTGGTCTCAACCCATTCATTAACCCCATTTGACCTTTTGGAAAGTATCGGAACAAGGTACCCTTTGGTGCTTCCTACATGAGGGTGATTGGACAAGTATAGATTTGAGCTAAACATAAAAATTAGGAGATAGTTGCTAAATACTATGCACAATATCGCGATTTGTTAAAAAATTGCTTCCTAAGCATCTTCTTGTGAACGATTATTATGAGTGTGCCTTCACGTGAAAGTAAAGAGAGGTGAAAAATGGAGTAATATCCTCCAAGGGTTATATTAATTTTTTTTCATCAAATTAGAAGATATTTTTAAATATTAATGCTATATATATATATATATATATATATTTATATTTATATGCGAAACTTGCTCTAGTTCGAAGAATATATGTCACCAAAATATGATAACGGAATTACGTTGTGCGTCACTCCTTTGTCTCTAATACGATGTTCAAGTTGACGCAGTCCGCGAGGCATCCTCCCTTGTTTTGAGGGAAAACTAGCTGAGCTTTAGTCCATCAAATAATGGATATAATCTGAGCTAGAACTAATTCCTGTAAAAGTCTAAAGTCACCAGCGCCAAGTCAAGAAGACTATTCGGCCCCATTTTTTCCTTTTTTATCTTTCAATTAAACATAAGTAAATATTCGTATATAAGTGGAGTTTCGAGACTACCAGTAAATCAGTAGTATGAGATGTTTTCACCCTATTTCGTTTAATGTGCCGAAGGAATGATAGTAGAATTTTCCCACAATGATATGAATGGAGCTGATTTATGCGATTTCGAAACTGCAGTTCGCTTTAGTCGGGATGAGAACACCTTTTGGGAAAGCAAGGCTATGTGAAATTCAATGGAAAGATCAGCTCTACTCATACGATTGTGAGTAACTTCTACTACCAGTCCTTCTTCACCTTAAACTAAATAGGTTGAAAACATCTCATATAAGTAATTCTTACTCTACTTTCTACCACTATTCCCCACATTCAGCGTATTCCCTTGTCTATCAATTTCAATAATCTCTCCTATCTTCCTTTTAACAGTACACGTACCATAATCAGCAGATCTACTAGTTCGAGAACATTATATCTCATCTCTAGTCTCTGGCATGTGTTCGGCCACTTCTGCCCATTGGACCCAGCCTCCTTTGCAAGCAATTGTGTGCCCCCCTCGCCTTTATTGACATAAACACACTCGAGCAAATCTAGCAGACCCAGTATGAAAGATAATTAGCCAAACCATGCTACAGCTGTTGTGCTTACTTCCATTTCGAGTAAAAGTGTTTCGTGAAAAGATTCGAAGGTCAATTCCACCAGAAGACGACGGCAGCTTGCTCTTGAACAACTGTCGATTGGCTTCATTGGAACATTCATGCTGACGCTGTTTCTGAAATGATATCCTTCGATTCCGGTTAAATGGTACTAAGCTTTCGTCCGTCATATGACAAACATCATCAGAGCGTTATATCATGCTTACAATCAAGTTCAATCAAGTTCGTGACTCGTTGGCTTGAATTTAGTTGTAACGACTCTACCTTGCTCTGATGCTGTTTTTCATGGGACGGACGAAAGCTTAGCACCTTTTCACCGGAATCGAAGGAGATTGCCTCGATAACCGCGTCAGTATGAATGTTCCAGTGAAGCCAATCGACAGCTGATCAAGAGGAATCCGCCGTCGTCTTCTGGTACATTTGACCTTCGAATCTCTTCACAAAACACTTTTACTCGAAATGGAAGTAAGCTCAGCAATTATGAAACAAGAGATTCCTCTAAACCCAACTTTTCTTCACATCCTATATCTATCTATGCACATTCATTTATGTTTTTAGTTATGAGTATATATAAGAGGTAAGCTAGAGCCGGACAGTATTCTTGACTCAGTGTTAGAGTGAGGCTTTTGCAAGAATGGTGTCCATCATATGATGGACGAAAGCTCAACCGTTTTCCCCCCAAGCGGGGAGGATTACTCGTGAGATCTACCTTCGAAGCTCTTCTTCATGCCGTTTCCTACCAAGTGAAGGTCTCCCCAACAATGTTTTTTTCGGGAGATTCATCGAAACCCAGTTACTCTTTGTATCCACAACATAATAGTCACAAGTCCAAGACAATCTCCTTTCTCTATCAGATAAGACCAATTTATACATCTCATCATCATTCGTCATCTCTTTTCCTACTTATTTGCCCTCTTATGTTAAATGCCCACCAATAGGCTTCTTCAGTCTACTCCCGGGTCGGATCAGATTCCACTTTAGCCACCGGGAGTCGTCCTCAAGCCCCTTTCGGAACACAAACGCAGCAGGCTATCACTGGTCTCCAGGGCAACTCTGTAACGGTTCAAATGAGGCCTCCACCTCCATCCCCACCCCCTTCGCCTTCTGCTCTACATCCTTCGTTGCCTGCAGACTCTGTCCTTGCATGGGCGATGATGGCCAACACGGCTTTGGTAGATAGTAAGTTAGCATAATCTGATACGATACCACCCGAGCTTGTAAAAGAGTATCTGTATCACAAAATTGTTGCCATGACAAAAGTTTTAATTATAATTTTTATCTAAAAGACTGTAATCGTTTATGTGGCCATGCATTTTGAGATAAATAAACCTTAAAATGCCTAGCATTTTCTTATTTTGCGTCTGAAATGGCCAAATCCAATCAGTCATTTGGTTCCATTTTTTGTCATTGTTCAGCATTACAATTATCATTTTATGCATTTAATTTCAAATTGTACAGCTTATCCTCTAAATGGCGGATTTTGGCAGTTGTTTGAGTAGAGCTTTACTGATTTTCTTAATCGGTAGATACATGTTTAAAAGATTCGCAAGGATATGTAACCTCAATGCTGCAGTGAATTCCATTAGGTTTTTCGCTTCTAAATAGGGTTTCGAGGCTAGCGGTAGATCATATATACGAAGTGTATTCAATCTATTTCGTTCAAGGTGATTAGGAGACCGGCAGTTACTCACTATTTTATCTTCCTAGAAGGTTGAAAAAGTATTCGTGGCACCCTCCTTTGGTTCCGGCGAATAAAGGCTGAGCTTGCATCAATCAGGCCACTTAAAAGGCATCATCAGAGCTATTTTTTATTGCTTTTTAAGAATGAAATGAATGCAATAGTGAGGTTCAGTCCTGAGGATACTTTTTAAGTGTCCTGACAAATAAAAGGTCAATTCGTTTTGTCTGGAAACAAAGGAGGGCTTTATGACATGAG